AAATATTTTCCTGCGTATTAGCAACCCCCATAAGGGAGTCGACGGAGAACGTAACCACCCACTTCGATGAGAAGTCGTAAAGAAACACATTACGCAACCATTTTGCATCGTACGGCAACGATAATGACCGTAGGTGCCTCAATATTACGTTTAAACGACGGTCACAGTGTCGCCCAATCTGGCCCAATCAAATCCAATCCCAAATTGGGGGCGCCCAATCAAATCCAATCTGCGAATAATTCGCACGCCAATCGCACAAAGAAGGTAAAAAATTACCACCACAATGGTCACGTGGTACGCAAGCAAACATATTATCACCATTATAGCGAACAATAAACCTTTTTTAAAAAACAACCCTTTTACGCGGGTTTAAGTGTTAATACTATCCGACCGGAGTACATTTTTGGGCAAAAATTCTGTGTTCGACACGATAACGTTTACATCGATAAGCATACCAAAAAAAATGCATAAATATTGTCTGGGTATTAGCAACCCCCATAAGGGTGTCGACGGAGAACGTAACCACCCACTTCGATGAGAAGTCGTAAAGAAACACATAACGTAACCATTTTGCCTCCTACGGCAATGCCACTGACATAATGTGCGAACGACGCTTTTCAATAAATGTGTGGGCCGATGTCGCTTGGATGAAACATATATTTTATGAAAATCAACCGTGTCCAGTAGAAACTATCAAAGAGCTTCCACGACGAGTGGAAGTGGCAGCCGCCAAAGTTGATGGAATTCCCGGTGTTTTTTTTAGGTCGTTTATGTTGCGACGTTCTGAAGCGTTTATTGCTAGTTATGGGCAACATTTTCGACATGTATTGTAAAGAGGTAGTAGCACTGTAAGTTGCTCTTATTTGTATTCTAATAAACAAAGTGGAATCGTTGTGACAAGGACCAAACTTCCGTCAGAATAAAAAGTCGATCACGATGAAGCATTATCAAAAATCGGTCCTTTTCAGGTCAACCATTTATTTCTATAACAAATAACCTTCCGCATTGACCTCTAACGATGAATGAATGAATGATAACCAGCAAAAAGTTGGTTTTACTTTTAATTGAAACTGAAAGTGTTTACATCGTTTTTATTGGAACGTTTTCCCACTTACTCTTTAAAAGGTGGATCAATGGCATCGCATCGAGGGTGGTTCATGGCGGTTTTGCCCATTCGATTTTTAATTTGTGTTTTAGTTCCCGAGCGTAAGCTAAGGAAGTGTAGTAATCGAGTCCATCAGACGATGGGTCACTTTCATGTTTTTTCGTATTTCCAACAAGGGTTGTATGTATGTACGTCTCCTAAGCGCAGTGGGTGGGTATCAGAGAGAACGGCGACCTGTGGGACTGTGATTGTGGGTTCGTTGCCGAACTTGGCCGCTTACTTTTTATTTACTTTCATTGGTATAACCAGAGTATAACGCTGTGACTACTTCTCTTTTGTGCTGCGATTAGAATTATGCATGTTGATGACGTCATCACAAATTCTGTTATTGAAAACATCATGAACGAGTCACCTCATTTTCTCGAAAATGTAAAGACCACGCACATCTTTTTATAATAATACCTAATAAAATAAGCATTATAATATAATAATAATTTTAGTCTTTTGTTTTGAGGAGACAACTTATTCAATTAAATTAAACAAATTTCTACGTAACATTTGTTCGATGTATAAACAGAAAAATGATTTTAATGTTATATAAAAATATACTCCTATACTTGTAGTGTACGAATTCGCTGTCAGTTTTTCCCTAAACGTTCACATTTTCGCAAAAAACATTACCCAACGCAATACGGTTATATTACTAACACCGGACAGGAGTCGCGGTGGCGCTGCGGCAAAGGCGGAACACCGAGACGTTCAACGCAGCCGTGCGACAGGCGGAAAGTGGTTCGATGCTGAATGTGGCCGTCTTTTGTCTTATATTGGTAATACGCTGTGACTATTTTTCTTTCGTGCTGTGACTAGTATTATCTACTAGTATATTGATGACGTCATAACAGATTTTGTATTGGTCAAATGAAGAACGAGTCACCCCATTTCCTCGAAAATGTGAAAAACACGTCTTTATAATAACGATGATAAAATAAGACTTATAATTTTCAGAGAATTTTGTTCAATTGTGGTTTAATTCAAATCAAACTAATTTCTACGTGACATTCGCCCGATGTTTAAACATAAATAAACACGCGAGAATCCCGGATATGTTTCATTGTTACTTCAGGAGCGAGGCAATTTCTGTCGACACAACGTTCGACCAATTTTTATTAAGGTGCTGAACCGATAAATCGACTTCAGATATAGTGTCAAATATTTTGAAAAAGAGACAAAAGGAGCATTTCAAAGTTTGGGAGATTTGTCGCCAAACGTGACAGATTCATATCACATTCACACAAGGTGGGGCATTGTGGGGCTCTTTGTATAAGTCACCGTAAACATACACAAGTATTTCCAACTTAAGAAAATGTACGACACTAAAAAATGTTTTATTCAATGTAAGGTACAAGTAATAACTACAATATAATTAATGTGTGAAAAAGTACTTACCTTGAAGGGTATTGAGGTACAATTTCAATTATATATATATATATATATATATTAGGGTGATTCAAAAAAAAAAAAATAATTTTTTTTTTCGTGCAAAGAGGTTCAAAAGTTTCTTTTCAACGTAAAAAAATACCAGTTAAAATTTGAGCTCTTAATATTAATATTAAGACCGTCCGCATCGCGTTTTTCTATTTCCCATAAGAATAACATGGGAAAATTTTTGTTTGCACCTTCTGATTTTTATTGCTAGCCCGTCGTGTGTCGTGAAAAAAATTCAATCACATATTTTTATAGAGAATTGAACGCTCTACAAAAAGTGTCTCCTATGATTGTGCGAGAAACCTGATAGTTGAAGAGTTATTTTAGGCTAAAGTTAAATTTATCCAAATTTTGACGTTTTTGATGCATTACAATAAATTTGATGGTCTTATTGGAATAAATCACCACAAAAATTTATACACATTTTAAATTTAGTTTTTTAAACAGTAATTGTTTATAATTTTATGCTATAATAAGGCCAGTAAAACTCTTTCCGAACATTTTCAGCATCAGTGGGTTAAAAAATCATAGTCAGGTTTCTCGCAAAATCATAGGAGACACTTTTTGTAGAGCGTTCAATTCTCTATAAAAATATGTGATTGAATTTTTTTCACGACACACGACGGGCTAGCAATAAAAATCAGAAGGTGCAAACAAAAATTTTCCCATGTTATTCTTATGGGAAATAGAAAAACGCGATGCGGACGGTCTTAATATTAATATTAAGAGCTCAACTTTTAACTGGTATTTTTTTACGTTGAAAAGAAACTTTTGAACCTCTTTGACACGAAAAAAAAAATAATTTTTTTTTTTTGAATCACCCTAATATATATACATATGTATACATATAATCATCTTTGTGAGAAAGTGTTTTTATTTTGGTGTTGCATGTCAGTCAATATAACATAACAAATATGTTATGTGTACTACATATATATTATTTTATAAATATTACTTACAATGTCGTTGCAAGAACCAACGAGAACGTCGAAGATTCTTGGCAAATGAGGAAAGGGGTGTAAAAAAAAAGTTCAGCACATAAAGATGTTGAAATAACAACGAGAAAACGTTAAATTTTAAATCTTTGAGATAATCTACACTTAGAAAAAGTAACAATTTCAAAAATTATTATGAAAGCAAAATTCAAAATGTCAAATGAAACAAAAAATAAATGCTCAAAATACTAACAACATTAACACTAACAAATAAAATAAAAATAATTCCAAAATAATCGCTCTGATTGGTTTTAGAAACATCACTAAATATTAAAGACTTTTACAAAAACTTTAAAATTTATCATCGAATTTTGTTAACAAATGTGTTAATTCTTTGCAATTACTTTCATTAAGAGAAATTTGCGATTAATCTGTTCCCTGAAATATTTATTTGTGCGTAGCCAAGAAAATTAGTATATTGAATAAAAGTTTAATATTGAATCTATTTTTTTTTAACTGTTTCATTATGTTGTATATGTTTTCACAACAAATTCGGCTATTAAGAGAATTTTCTATAGTTTCACTTCGTTTTCCAAGTCATTTTCATTTTTTCAGATTGATCATGTTCGTAATTTTTCGTTAAATAACAGACAATTCCAACAGTATAGTTTGTTGTTTCACTACCGATCAGCCAATAATACTTATTCTTCTAATTTTGATTAAAGCCTTTATTACTGCCAAGAGAGTTTGTGATGCCTGATTGTTGCATTTCAGGACATGGTCTTAATGTATAAACAAATAGTTCATAAACATCAAGTTCCATGCTACTGAATTTATTTATAAAAACAAAAAAAATTTCGACAACAAATAAAAGTAAATTAATTATCACTTAACTATACCTGAATAGTGAATATTACTAATATTTAAATAATGGTTATAATTAAATAGAAAAAAAACAATAAATTATAATTAAAAAATATTACAAAATAAAGAAATAAATCATTCTTCTAGCATCAAGACATTAATATGGCCTTCAGTTTGCTTTTGATTCTGCATTTGTTACTAAATAAATTTAAATTATAAGTGTCGACAAGAAAATTTGATAAAGCCATCATACGTAAAATAGGATGATTCTATGCCAACAGCGTCGAAGAAGTTGAAACTCTAAACGTTGTCCCAACATTATGGGAAACCTTTGCTGTAAATGTTACATATTGGCTACTATAACAATATACTGATAGTATATATATATATATATACGTCAATAATAACTTTTGGCCTCGCGCCAGATTTAGGCAACAAGTAATGGCAGAATATGAAAACCACATCCTAGCCTCAAACCTGTCATATCAGTGTTCAAATTTGTATTTATGGTTGCATCATTTACAACAAGCGACACGTTTTAAAGTAGGTAAATATTTCGAGTTATAGTTTAAACTGTTTTCGAGTAAAAGAAAGAAAAAGTGGTATGAATCAGTTTATTCAGAAATAATTTTTTGGAATTAAAACAGCCACATAGAGGCTGAAGAAATTAAGATAATCAAAGAGAAAAGAAAACAACTTAAAACTAGGAAAGCTTACTTCGTAGTAAGTGCAATTATATTCTATGAACATTTAATACTACTATAAAACACCAAAGTAGATTATTCATATTTCTTATGAAGTTAGAGATTGCAATTATTAACAAAGTTGACAACGTATGGATAAAGTTAAATATATATCTTTTAGTCAAAAGAGGTGTCTGCATAATTTGTTACAGTGTGTTTGCAGGTATATTTGTACAATGCAGCAGCAGCTGCATTCACTATCCAAATGTAATGTATAAATAATGATTTGTCTGGTGTATGGTGCAGTCTTAAAATTAGGTATTTTTACTATATTTCAATTGGATAAATATTTTTACACATATTTGTAAATTCTCGTGCTTTGCCAGTTTTAGACGTTGGAATTTTAATTATTAGCGTATCGTTTTTGTCTTGAATGCCGTCATTATTTTTCAATTTATCCATTCCACATGCTCCTACAACTTCTAATAAAAAATAAACCTAAAACATAATGATTTATAGACAATGTGATTGACCTTGTTTGAGATCACCTTTAACATCGGGTACATTTAATCACGGGCTTCTGTTAAAAATTTTGGTAAGTCTTCTCTTGTAAATATATTTGATTTCTTGGCAATGTAACCTATATTTTTTGCTTGAAAACTTGGTGTACTTAGATATATCTATGCTGTTTCTTATTAACAGAGTTGACTTTAACTACGACTATGCAGCCCAAAGTGTTAAAGATTTCACAGAATTTGCTTTTTCAGCGAAATACTCGTATGCAATGAGGTGTTCTCCATATATTTTGCATGGTTGTTTCTGCGCAAAAAAAAAAATTCATACTGCTTTTCATAAACTGTGGCTGAGTTTTTAGGTAATAAATTTGATATATTATCTGCCAGTTTTTGCAAGTTCGGTCGAATGCATGTAAACTGCTTGTTATTATTGCTATCCATCTCTATTTTGCAATTGCTACAGATCTTTCTGCAAGCAAAAATATTAAAAGTGCCGAAAAATAAGAGGTATGCTTCATACTTTCATTTAAAATGGGCATGTAAGCTAATAATCTGTTCTGTAATAATAATAAAAGCTTATTATAGGTTATGTAGATACAAGAAAATTGTTCAAATTCTTCCATTCCGCGTACTCCTACAACTTCGAATAAAAAATATACCTAAAACATTATGTTTTATAGACAATGTGATTGACCTTCTTTGAGATTACCTTTGACATTAGGTACATTAATCACGGGCCTCTGTTAAAAATTTTCGTAAGTTTTCTCTTGTAAATATATTTGATTTCTGGGAAACATAACCTATATTTTTTGCTTGAGAACTTGGTGTACTTAGATTATATCTATGCTGTTTTATATTAACAGAGTTGACTTTAACAACGACTATGTATCCCAAAATGTTGATTTCACAGAATTTTCTTTTTCAGCGAAATACTCGTATGCAAAATGAGATATTCTCCATATAATGTTTTCCATGGTTGTTTCTGCACCGAACAAAAACTTATTACAGGTTATGTGGATACACATTGTTCGCTGCCATAGAATGTCGCTGCACTTCAAGAAATCCACTGTTGCCATGCAAGGTTGCGACGTTGCGAGATTACGCGCAAATTTAGTTAATAAATTATATTTATAAAATTAATAAACCGGATGTGTTTCTAATAACTAATAAAAAGGGTTAACAAAGAGTATAGAATTACTGCTAAACCGAAAAACAATTTATAACCTTGTAAAATGTAATTGTGGAGGTAGATAATACTAATATGACAACACCGCATTTAATTTCTGTGCCGATTTTTGAACATAGAAAAAGCACATTACTGCGCGATTTCGAAAAAAGAAACATTACTATTTTTTAGCAGCTTTTAACCTCTCTTTTTATATTTCTCCAAGAAAGGCGTACATGTCAATTTTAAAATACCAGTTTAAGTTGGAGTAAGAAATTTACTTTTATGGTTGTGTGTACAGGCACTTCTACAATTAGCAGTACAAGTTTTTGTTAATCTCTTAAATTATTTTTCTACTTATGGAGCCAATCTGGATATTTGCTTAAGGGTGTGCTTTAAATTTTAGGAATTAATATCTTGGAACGTCATGCATCGTTTCCATACATTTTTGAGCTTCTGTTTTATTTTCTAATCACTTGGAATTTCATTTCCAAAAACAAAAATTGTACTTGAAATGATAGATATGAAGCTCATTATTCCGAAACATGTAATTATAAGATCAAATGTTACTATGCATGAAATGTATTATTTGATATAAAGTAACTTTTGATATCGCATTCTTTAGATTTTTTTCATGGGTACTTTACAGTTAATAGTATCACCATGAAATTGTCTCTTAGATTTGTTTTTCTTTCTTCCGGTATTTGAATCACAATTTGATAATCTTAAAACAACGACAATTAATTTAACTTTAGCTTGAGTTGTGAACCTGAAAGTTGTTTTGTATGAATTTGTGTGACAAAAGTGTACTAAAGATGAAAATAATTACTTATACTCTTTTATAATCATTAATTACATTTGTAGCAATTTTTGGCCTCTCGTATTTTATATTATTTTATCCAAGAAACAAGCGAAATTTGAAAAACCAGTTTAATATTTTAATGGAGCAGTAATTATGAACCCAAATGTTGCTATGGATAAAAACTATTATTTGACTTAAATTAACTTTTGGAATCACAGTCTTTGGATTTTTTTCGTAGATACTCCACAGTAAACAACATAATTATAAATCTGTCCCTTTGATTTATTAATTTCTCAATCCGCCGATATTTGAAAGACCATTTGGTATTCTTAAAACAAGGGTTACTAATTTAATGTTTCCTTGGACTGTGAGCCTGAAAGTTGTTTTGTATGAATCCATATGGGGTCAAAGTGTACTAAAGATGAAAAGAATGACTTCGTTTATAGCAACTTTTGGCCTCTCGTGTTTAATATTTCTCCAAGAATGTTTTTAATTTTGTAAGATATTGGGCCAATAAAACATACACCGACAACATTATTTGCAATTCTTTCAACCACCTATGAATTCATAAAATATCAACTTTTGCATCTTTAATTGAAATATTGTTCAATTCTAATCTAAACCATGAAAACTATAATAAAGAACTTCAGTCCATAAAACAAATTGCAATAAATAATGACTTTAAAGTAAAATTAATCCACAATCTAATTGACAAAATAAGATACAAAATTAAAAAAAAAAAACAATGTTGCTCGTTGTTCAAAACGGACCATGATACTAAGGAAGACATAGGTAGATATTATTTTCTGGATTTTATTGAAACATTATCTTACAAAATTAAAAACATACTAAATAGAGTGAATAAAAATGTTAATATTTCATTTAGAAAAATTAATTCAACCAGAAATCAGTTACTGAACAACAAAGATAAAATTACTTAACTAGATAAAGCCGGAGTCTATCAATTACAATTTGAATGTTGAGATTGTGCCTTAAATTTTACGAATCCATATCGTGAAATAATACACCTCATGAATTTCACTGGCTTGTGTTGAAATTTCGGGTTTCCAATTTTAAATTTATTAATCTAGTACTTCGTTCCAAAAACAAAATTGTGCCCGGAATGATGGGTTAATTACCTGTTTTCACATATACGAAGCGCACGAGTCCGAAAGTTACCTAACATGCAATTATGAGGCTAAATGTTGCTATGGATGAAAACAATTATTTGAATTAAAGTAACTTTTGGCATCACAGACTTTAGATCTTTTTTCATAGGTATTTTACACTTAACAACATCATTATGAATTTATTTCTTAGATTTATTTCTCAATCCACCAATATTTGTCTTAACCTCATAGAAAATGTTTCGTCTTATGGAAAAAATCTGAATATTTACACTTGGGGGTGTGCCTGAATATATAGCACCGAATATTGCCTCACATGAATTTTACTGCCTCGATTTGACCAAATTTTGGGTTTCCGATTTTAGATTTATTCATGTACCTTGTACTTTAATGTATGTTAGCACATGAGTCCGAAAGTCATTGGTCATGTAATTATGAGGCCAAAAGTTTCTATGGATGAAAGCCATTATTTGATTTAAAGTAACTTTTGGCATCAAAATCTTTAGATTTTTTTAATAGTTACTTCATAATTAATAACACAATTATGACTTTTTCTTGTAGGTTTATTTCTCTTATTTGTTATTAAAATAACTGCTGTTAAGTTAATTTTAGCTTGGGTTGTAAGTTTGAAAGTTGTTCTCTACGATTCTGTGAGGCCAAAATCTACAAAAGATGAAAATAATTTTAGGTTAGATAGTTCAACATTCAGCCAATTATTTATTTTTATTTATACTATTTTCGTGTGGTATAGCAAGAATAATGGTCAAAAATCAAGTATTTTAGGATCAAAAAACGGCACATCAATTTCCAGATAATATTAACACTAATAAGTCTAAAAATCTAACCAAATATTGACTTTTTTAAAGTGTTATAAGTTTACTGACGAGGTGGCTGAGAAAGGGGATGAACCCTGAAACTGGTATCACCAAAATAGTATAAATAAAAATAAATAATTGGTTGATTGCAGAACTACCTAACCCAACTTTATACCCGCGCTAATATGGAAACACACATATCAAAATAATTAGCTCATTTATAGCAACTTTCGAACTCTCGTATTTTATATTTGTCTAAGTAGCAAGTACTTAAAAAATTTAAATTATCACTTTAACTTTGAATAAAAAAATATTTTTATGAATGCGTCTACAGATTCTTCTACCATTCACAGTCTAATTTTGTACTAACTTCATACAAAATGTTTCGTATTATGGAAAAAATCTGAATATTTACACTTGGGGGTGTGCCTGAATATATAGCACCGAATATTGATTCACATGAATTTTACTGCCTCGATTTGACCAAATTTTGGGTTTCCGATTTTAGATTTATTCATGTACCTTGTACTTTAATGTATGTTAGCACATGAGTCCGAAAGTTATTCGTCATGTAATTATGAGGCCAAAAGTTTCTATGGATGAAAGCCATTATTTGATTTAAAGTAACTTTTGGCATCACAATCTTTAGATTTTTTTAATAGTTACTTCATAATTAATAACACAATTATGACTTTTTCTTGTAGGTTTATTTCTCTTATTTGTTATTAAAATAACTGCTGTTAAGTTAATTTTAGCTTGGGTTGTAAATTTGAAAGTTGTTTTCTACGATTCTGTGAGGCCAAAGTCTACAAAAGATGAAAATAATTTTAGGTTAGATAGTTCACCACTCTGCCAATTATTTATTTTTATTTATACTATTTTCGTGTGGTATAGCAAGAATGATGGTCAACAATCAAGTATTTTAGGCTCAAAAAACGGCAGATCAAATTCCTGATAATATTAACACTAATAAGTCTAAAAATTTAACCAAATATTGACTTTTTAAAGTGTTATAGGTTTACTGACGAGGTGGCTGAGGAAGGGGATGAACCCTGAAACTGGTATCACCAAAATAGTATAAATAAAAATAAATAATTGGTTGATTGCAGAACTACATAACCCAAATTTATACCCACGCTAATATGGAAACAAACATATCAAAATAATTAGCTCATTTATAGCAACTTTGGACCTGCCGTCCTTTATATTTAGCTAAGTAGCAAGTATTTAAAAAATTTTAATTATCACTTTAACTTTGAATAAAAAATATTTTTATGAATGCGTCTACAGATAATTCTACCATTCACAGTCTAATTTTGTTTTAACTTCATACAAAATGTTTCGTATTATGGAAAAAATCTGAATCTTTACACTTGGGGGTGTGCCTGAATATATAGCACCGAATATTGATTCACATGAATTTTACTGCCTCGATTTCACCAAATTTTGGGTTTCCGATTTTAGATTTATTCATGTACCTTGTACTTTAATGTATGTTAGCACATGAGTCCAAAAGTTATTCGTCATGTAATTATGAGGCCAAAAGTTTCTATGGATGAAAGCCATTATTTGATTTAAAGTAACTTTTGGCATCACAATCTTTAGATTTTTTTAATAGTTACTTCATAATTAATAACACAATTATGACTTTTTCTTGTAGGTTTATTTCTCTTATTTGTTATTAAAATAACTGCTGTTAAGTTAATTTTAGCTTGGGTTGTAAATTTGAAAGTTGTTTTCTACGATTCTGTGAGGCCAAAGTCTACAAAAGATGAAAATAATTTTAGGTTAGATAGTTCACCACTCTGCCAATTATTTATTTTTATTTATACTATTTTCGTGTGGTATAGCAAGAATGATGGTCAACAATCAAGTATTTTAGGCTCAAAAAACGGCAGATCAAATTCCTGATAATATTAACACTAATAAGTCTAAAAATTTAACCAAATATTGACTTTTTAAAGTGTTATAGGTTTACTGACGAGGTGGCTGAGGAAGGGGATGAACCCTGAAACTGGTATCACCAAAATAGTATAAATAAAAATAAATAATTGGTTGATTGCAGAACTACATAACCCAACTTTATACC